AATAAACAAAATAAACAAAATTCTCTCTCCATAATGTAAAACTATTACATTAATTACAGATTGAATAACTGTACCTGGCTGAAGTTCCATTATACTTGAACTATTTAAGTGTGTCTACAAGGTCTTGAATTAATCTTGCTAGGTTCAATGGAGCCACCTCTCCCATATGTTTTTTCAATAATCTTACTACTATCAAATACAGAGTATTAAACTTGTATTCTGTATTCAAAACAATTTGTTATTAATCAAAATAAGAATGCTTTATTCCAGGATAGTTAGATCTTAGAACTGTGGAAGAAATAACTTCTAGATATGAACAGATACTCACCATCTTCTTAATCAGCCCTGGTCTGTGCTTTGTACAATTTGACAGTGGGTGAGATAAGATTCACTGCCATCACTATAACTGTGGCCCAGTGCTGTTGAAGGCCAGTGAGCAAGTTTTAGGAAGAGTTAAGTCACTGTACCACAGAAGACAAAATATTCAGTTTGTTTCAATTTCTTAGGATTAACTTTGAAATATAAATAATATCCAAGTATCAAGGCACTTGGTGTGCCCAAAGAAGGAGATTACAATGAATTATATTTATAAGTATGGGTATTAGAGCTACTAGAATGGAAATCCTTGTACTACAGTTCAGAAAGCAAATTTTAATTCCAATGAGAGGATATTAATGTACAATAATACAATAGACAATACAAAGAAACAGTTAAATATGCAAACTGAAGTGAGGTGCACTGAAACCAATCTGATTTATTTTCAAGGAATATCATTAGAACGTGAATTGAAAAATATCAAAAAGATAACCTTGAGTCTTTAGCATTCTGCATCGCTCAGTTATACAAGCTCGGAGGAGCAGAACAAAACATGAAAATCAGTAAAGGATTTTGTTGGTTGATGGCTACCTTCTTTTTCATGTAACAGTGTATCGATGTAGAGAATACAATGTCTTTGCAGATATAAGTTTTAATGAAAGATTTGGCAGGAAAAGAATATGTATCGCTTTGCATGATACAGTAAATCTTATTAAAACTTATTAATGAACAAGCAACTAGCAACTCCCATGAATGCCAGTGGTTAATTAAAAAAAAAAAGACAAACTATGTTTTGCTAGTTTGTTCTAGGACAGGGATGTCAAACTCAAGGCTCAGGGGCCAGATCCAGCCTTGGGGTGCGTAGATCTGGCCCATAGGGCCACCCTGGAAACAGCAAAGGATCGGCCTGCAGTGCCTCTGCCAGCAAAAATGGAGCTCGAGCAGCCCTCCTGAGCTCCATTTTTGCTGGCAGGAGGCTGTCACAGCTGAAAACAGAGCTCGGGAGCCCGTTTTCCCTGGAAAAGTGCTTGGGTCACCATAGGCGCCACTGACATGAGTGACATCAAGCTGGCTATGCTTCCTGCACCCCTCCCCCAAGGTCAAACACAACCCTGATGCAGCCCTCAAATGAAATCGAGTTTGACACCCCGTTCTAGGAGGAACAAGACTGAGTCCCAAGTTGGAGAGTACACTAAATTAACCACAAAATTTATAGTTTTCTGATGGTCTCTGTTTGCAGAGAGAATTAGTTTGTACCCCCCCTACTACTTATTTATTGATAAACCTTAATACATTTGCTGTGTCATTGCAGACTGACTCTATGCAAGCAACACGATTCAGCTTGGATAAAAACATATCTGTCTTACAAGAGAGAAAATGTGATCTAATGGAAAAAGTCATATTCTGACAGCATATTTTCATCGCAAATATTTCAGCACATTTTACATTGTATTTCAGATGCCATGCTCCATTTTCCAATTCCTCTTGCAATGTGAGAATGTGTATCTATCTCCAATTGCTACATGGGAAACTTTGTTATGGAATTCAGAAATAAAACTAAAATTAATTACCAATAAAGGAGAACAACTCGACACAGCCAACTTGCCATGGCCAGCTCGCTGTAGCTAACTCACTGTGACACAAAGAGTTACACTAATATCAAAGAAATGGAATAGAATCATTTTAAAAAGAATGCAAAAGGAGGGACAAAATGAAATGTGAATGACAAAAATTAAAATAATTATGTAATTATTTTAAATATTTAAATGGAATTGTTGAATTGTTCTGTGGCAAGTTGTCCTTTGGTGAGTTGGTTGTGAAGAACTGTCCCATGGCGAGTTGACCACAGTGAGTTCTCTCATCCCGGTCCTTGGTGCTTTCTAAGCTTGGTTGTTTTCTTGCAGATCTTCCAATACCCAGACTAAGTAACATCATCAGTTCGAATAATGGCTAATGAAATGATTGTAAAAAAACTCCAAGCTCATGGACCCCCCCTCTAAAATTAATGTGATTGTAAGAGATGATTTTAAACAATGGAGCTAATGTTTAATGAAAAATGACACTGCCTTCAATAGGGTTACTCTTTTATGTATACTAAGGGACACGGTGGCTCAGTGGCTAAGACGCTGAACTTGTCGGCAGTTCAGCGGTTCGAATCCCTAGTGCTGCGTAACGGGGTGAGCGCCCAATACTTGTCCCAGCTTCTGCCAACTTCGCAGTTCAAAAGCACATAAAAAATGCAAGTAGAAAAATAGGGACCACCTTTGGTGGGAAGGTAACAGCGTTCTGTGCGCCTTTGGCATTTAGTCATGCTGGCCACATGACCATGGAGACGTCTTTGGACAGTGCTGGTTCTTCGGCTTTGAAAGGGAGATGAGCACTGCCCCCTAGAGTCAGGAATGACTAGCAGATATGTGCGAGGGGAACCTTTACCTTTACCTTTATGTATTGGATCACTGCCTTCTTTGCATTTTCACAGACATGTTTCTTTCGAAATAGGCTATAGCACATTATTAGGATTTTATGAATTTCAAATAGAGTTTTAGAAAAAAAAAACCTCTATCTCCTCTGTTCAGCTTCATGGGTAAAATGTTCTTGTGCATCAGTGCTTCCATGCTTTCTTTCAAATCATTTCAAGGACACATATTTCCTGAATATGTAGGCCTACATTAAAGAAACCACTTGGGTGCAAAAAAACATTCCACAGACAAACTCTCTTCGTTGCAGGAATAAATTATGTATAAAAGCAAACTTTAGTTCTCTTATTAAAGTTGCCAAATGCTGAATTAACAAAATAATGAATCAGCGCTGAACCACAAGTAATTCTTTCTTTCCACATGTTCTGAGCAGTTAATAGCCGTAGTAGAACTATCCACAACAGAACAACAGTCACATTTCTAAATCACCCAACAGTATTCTGGGCAGTGTACAAATCCACTAAAACTATATATTTAAAAGAAGTGGGCATAAAGCCTTTTCCTGTTTAAAATTGCATATACTATTCAACAAATGAAGGGATGGGGGATGACAAACAGCAAACATTTCCATATGGAAGAGCTTGTGTACTGACAGCAATTCCTTCTCTGTTTTTAATCTAATCAAGGTTGATAAAGCTACAAGAGGGCCTTGCACAGCGTGGACCAGATTGGGAAGAAAGGCTCTGCAAATTATATACAATTTTTGGGTTGTAGCCAAAAATTGCATATAACAATTCCTATAAATACAGGTAGTCCTCAACTTATGACCACAATTGAGCCCAAAATTTCTGTTGCTAAGTGAGACATTTGTTGTGACTTTTGCCCCATTTTACGGCCTTTCCTGCCACAGTTGTTCAGTGAATCACTGCAGTTGTTCAGTTGGTAACACGGTTGTTAAGTAAATCTGGTTTCTCCGTAAGTATGAAACTGTTGCCAAGCATCTGAATTTTGATCACATGATCATGGGGATGCTTCAAAGGTTGTAACTGTGAAAAACAGTCGTAAATCACGCTTTTCAGTGCCGTTGTAACTTTGAATGGTCACTAAATGTACTATTGTAAGTTGAGGACCATCTGTAGCGGAGATCATTGTGGAATTTTAATGTGCACATAGTCCTCGACTTGCAACAGTTCATTTAGTGACCGTTCAAAGGGCCCTGGAAAAAGGGGCTTAGGATCATTTTTCACACTTATGACGTTGCAGCATCCCTCGGCCACGTGATCAAAATTCAGACGCTTGGCAATCGACCCATATTTATGACTGGTTGCGGTGTATCAGGGTCCCGTAATCCCCTTTTGCGACCTCCTGACAAGCAAAGTCCATGGGGAAGCCAGATTCACTTAGCAACCAGGTTACTAACGTAACAACTGCAGTGATTCACTTAACAAGTGTGGCAAGCAAAGTCGTAAAACGGGGCAAAAAAAAAATCACTTAACCAGTTTCCCTTAGCAGCAGAATTTTTGGGCTCGCTTGTGGTCGTAAATCGAGGACTACCTGTAGTTATTTCTAAGTCTGCATATGCATCTTCTGATAATGTTTTGTTTGCTTTGATATTAATAATATCTGTTTGGTTTGCTACGCAATTTTACAGAAAAAGAGCTCGGACTAGCCGGAATGGGGAAAGGGCCGCAACGCTCGATTCTACCGCCTCCCAGACAGCCTTCCAAAACCGGACACCCCCCCCCCCCAAATCGTCAGGCTTTCAGCCGGCCAGCGGTTCAACTAAGAAGGAACCAGCGGCTGCAGCGGCACCTTGGCGCGAACTATCCTGACGGGCTCGCTCCTCCACGCAAGCTTCGACACGAGCGCCAAAGATGAAAGCAGCCTCGACGCCCGGCAACGCCGCTCGCCTTCGCCGCCTCGATTACGCACGGAACCTGCAAACCATTTCCATAGTATCCGTGGAGCGCTGGCCTAGCAATGCACACAAACAACACACACACACACACACACACAACATGGTCTTCCCGCCCGGCAAAAGCACTCACAACGCCGGCGCTGAATGCCGCCTCCCCGCCATCCACCCACCCACCCAAAAAAGCCCGCGTCCTCTCAGCAAACCGCCACCCACACCTGGTTCCATATATATACATATAGATATCCCCGGGACTCGAAGCCCCGGTGCGCCTGCCCTTCGCCAACACTCCTGGTTTCCGAGGAAAGCTAACGGGCACCTCGCCCTCAGGCCTGCCCACGTTCGCCCCTTACCTGCGAAAGAAACCGAGCGGCCGCGGCGCTTGGGAGGGGGTCCGGCGCGAACCGCAACAACTCGTCCGCGCTCTCTCGGAGTGGCGGAGGCAGCAAGCTCGGGACCGGCTGAAGCAGGCCCCCTCTCTCTCTCTCTCTCTCTCTGGAAGGGCTGAGCTGAGGCTACCGTGCCGCCTCCCTCCTGCTCCTCCTCTTCACGGAACCGCAGCCTCCATGATTTGAGGCCGCCCACGAGACGCGCTGCGGCGTGAACCGGAGACGGCTGCCCGCCTGGCACCGCTAGGGAGAGGCCGTGTTCTGCGCTTCGTCCCTGGCGCGTTGAATTCTCCCCTCCCCTTCGTGGCGGAGCGGACTTCTCCCCACGGGCGTCCGAAGTGGTTTAGTAGTGGGACTTGTGGAACGCCAGAAGGATTTTAGCAATCGTGACAGGAAGGGGAGAATGAACGACGAAGCTTCATGTTGGCGAAAATAATGGGCCGCCGCCTTTGGATTTTGGGGCAGAGCATAACCCTGCGAGAGGGGGTTTAGCCTATTCAGCCAAACGAAGCGTATTCGGATTCTCTTCCGAATAAACACACAGCTTTACAGATGGAAGTAGGCCGACCAAAAGGGAGGTGTAAAAAGCCAAAAATACTAGGAAAGTGGTGGTTGAAAATCAGACAGATGCATCCTCTGTATGTCCTCTTTCGCTTATGTTCAATGTTAGTGGTCAAGTAGATGGAAGATACTAATTAAGGAGAATATTTGTAGCTCAAGGGTTTACAAGAGGGAGTCCTTGCTTGTTTTCTTGCAGAGATTTCATTACCCAAACAAGATAATATCATCAGTGCTGCCTAATTTGAGTAATGAAACCTCTGCAAGAAAACAAGCTCAGAGAGCACCAAGGACCCCTCAGACGGAAGATAAGTAGCAAGTTGTTAATGACTCCATCCAAGAAACATACATATAAACCTATAAAGTACATACATATGCTTGAAAATGAAGGCCAAAGATGCATCTTGCAAAGACATAAAAATGCGAAACATTTGTTGGTTCCTTCTTGTCTTTTTAGTGTGCAGGGGTGCATTTCACATTTTTATTAACTGGAAATGAAAAGCAAGTCAAATCACCCACCATTTTGCAGAGATACATACTGAATAATAAATATCAAGATCATCACAGTGTGTAATGCTTATGTCGTTCCTTCTCTGCCCGCTCCTATTTTTATTGCTTTTTAAGACGACAACAAGATTTTTTCCTTGAAACAACAACGATCAGTTTCCCCATATCAAGGGGGAAATAAAATTCAATTTAGAGGAATTCAGAGCCACCCCTTCAGCAGATGATGCTACCCAAGCTTTGTTGCTTTGAATGACAAACACAAATCGGTGAATTAAGTCCAGCTGTTTACTCTTGCTCTGCCAGTCCTACAAGGGTTGCAGAAGGCCATCAAAAACAAATCCTATAATTAGGCAGAGGAAAGCAGCTGATCCTGAGCTCAAGGAAAGGATGCAAACATTTATTATTGTAATTCACAATTTTTATAACCTAACACTTGCTGCTTATACTTTTGTTGCAGAAAAACAACAGAGATGAATTTCGAGATCAGAAATAGCTTTTTTATTTTGGCCAAAAGGTTCAGACATGCATTCTGTTTTACATCCTGAACAAAAGTCCTTCTTTAAGACACGTATCTTTATAGAACGAAAAACAGGAAGTATCTTAGATCTGCCTCTTTAGCTAGCCCCCCTCCCCTATTGCTTTAGGCAGGAAGCTCCATGTGGGTTAGTTCTGCATTTTAACATAGTACCTCTGCGGTTTGACTTCTTGAACTCTCCAACTGTAGAAAGTGTGTTAATTCTGCGGTTTAACTTTTTGAACTCTGCAACTTTCTCAAGTCACAGGGGTCCTTCAGAGATTCTCTAGGCTGACCCCGTATTATTTCACTCTTATAACCAAATTTCACTTTACGTCCTGCCTTTCTTTGAATTGCAAAATGCCCTAGGTTAACCTTGTCTCCATAATAAGCAATTGATTAATTCATTGATGAATTCATTTGTAACATTGGACAAAATTATTCTGTACACTGACTGTGGTGGAATGGAGAAGGTTTCTTAGTAACCAGATTTCTGCAAATCCATCTCTCTCTTCAGTTGCCACATCAAATGCAAAATGGGTATGACTATATCTCAGAATTTGGGAAGGGGGAATTTCCAGCAAAAAAAAAAAAAAAAGCTTGATATAGTTAATAGTTTAAACACAAGGACACCTTCCTTGTTATCTTTATAACAAAATCGTAAATCCGTAATTTTACATAAATCGTAAAATTATTCTTAATTTGATCACATTTTATAAATCTCTGAAAGTACTGAATATGGTATATTGAACATAGAATCATATGTCTGAAAGGGACTTTGGATTTCTTCTAGCCGTCCACCTCCCCCCCCCAAAATCAAGGCAGGAGACCTTACATCATCCTGGTGAAATAGTTTGTGCAGTCTTATTTTTGAAAACTTCCAGTGATGGAGCACCCACCATTCTGGGAGGTGAGCTATTCCATTGGTTAATTGTTCTCACTATCAGAAAATTTCGCCTTCATTCTAGGTTGAATCTGTATAAGCTTCTACCCTATACTTCTTGTTCTGCCCTCTGGTGCTTGTGTTCCCTTCTTGTCTGTGATAGCCCCTCAAGTGCTGGAAGTCAGTTATCATGTCTCTTCTAATCCTTCTCTTCAATAGGCTAGGCATACCTAGCTCCCTCAACCGTTCTCATACCATTTACCCTCCAGTCCCTTTATCATCTTTGTTCTAATTTCTGCACACTTTCTAGGGTCTCAGCATCTTTTTTGTATTATGGTGACCAGAAATGTGTGCAATATTCCAAGTGTGCCTTCACCAATGCAGTATAAAGCGGTAATATCACTTTTTGTGATCTTGATGCTAACTTTCTGTTGATGCAGCCCAGGGGCTTTTTTGGCAGCTGCAGCACATTGCTGCCTAATATTTTGAAATAATGGTCCACTAGGACACCTACAGTAGATTGTTTTCCACATTTATTACTGTTGAGCCAGGCACCACCTAATTGGTGTCTATGCTTTTGGTTTTTCCTGCCTAAGTGCAGGACCTTTCTTTTCATATCACCAAACTACATCTTGTTGGATAGGACCTGATGCTTAAGACTGTCAAGATCCTTCTGAATCTTGAGTCTTATCTTCCAAAGGGTTAGCAATTCCCCACTCTCTCGCAGCTTGATGTCATAGGTAAATATGACTTCCCCTTCTATCCCCTCATCTAGATCATTTATGAAGATGTTAAAGAGGAGTGGACCCAAGACAGAGCCTTGAGGTACCCCACTGTATGCGTCTCTCCCTATAGCTGTAGTTCTATTAAGGACTACATGCTGGGTGAGGTTGGTTAGCCACTTGTAAATCCATCTGGTGGTGGTACTGTCTATTCCACATTCTTCCATCTAATCAAGAAGTAAGTTATAGTCTACTTTGTCAAGTACCTTACTGAAGTCTAGATATACTATGTCCACAGCATTTCAGTTGTCCACTAATTCTGTCACTATCAAAGAAGGGTATAAAGTTTGTGTGGCATGATCTATTTTTAACAAACTCATGCTGGCTTCTAGTAATCACTTTGTTCATTTCAAGTGGTCACAAATCCTCCACTTGATTATCTTTTCCAGAATTTTCACTAATATTGATGTCAAGTTGGCCTATAATTTCCTAGATGCATTTCTCCCTTTTTGTAGATTGATAAATACAGATAGATAGGTGCATTAATAAATCTATTAATGGTATTCCTGGTAAATCAATGGATTCCTTTTATAAACTGAATGCCCTATCCAGGGTGCTTATTGGTTTATCTAAATAAGAGGCTTCAAAACTTTCTGTTCAGACTGACAATTTTTTTTCTCGATAATACTAGTATTTCCTATCTCTTAGTATTCATTCATTCATTCATTCATTCATTCATTCATTCATTCATTCATTCATTCTCTTGACTAACAGTTACTTACAGCTTTGACAAAAGCTATTAATCCTAGAGTTGGGTAATCTCAAAAAGAATGTGATAACACCAGAAGTGTAGGGTGGTATAAAGCCACCAAGTGCCTTTCAAAACTGAGACAGATTTACTGATGGTGTTCAAGTCCATGGTGAAGCTGGGTTGAAGACTTCTTCTTTCCACTTTACTGCTTTGTTGTTGTTTTTTTAATTTGATTTATATGCCGCCCTTCTCCGGAGACTCAGGGCGGCTTACAATGCGCTAAGCAATAGCCTTCATACTTTTGTATATTTATACAAAGTCAGCTTATTGCCCCCACAAACTGGGTCCTCAATTTACCTACCTTAGAAAGGATGGAAGGCTGAGTCAACCTTGAGCCTGGTGAGATTTGAACTTACAGTAATTACAGACAGCTGGTGTTAAATCACAATGCTATCAGTCTGCTGAGCCACCAGGCCCAATGCATTTCTTTTTTGTAGATTGATAAATACATGTTAGGAATGTAATGAGCCAACTAGATATTGTCTTTGTTTTAAATTCTTTGTTTTTCTATAACCTTTTAAACATGAGATAGTGTTTTAAGTTTATCAAAATCTTAGCTACTTCAAGCACATAGTGTTTCTTCTGGCAGAATCTCTCCCAGTTGCTAAATAATTCATATCCCTTTTATTGACTAGCTTGTTCTCCCTATTCAAGAGATTTTAGAGTTCAAATAGTGGGCATGGAGATATTCTTGGGAACAGAATGTTCTCATTTTCAGTTTTCCCTCCTTCTTTCAACAAAGAGAAGAAGGGAAAGAATGAAGAGATGAGACAGATGCTTGATAAAAATATATCCACATCAGCTTCTTACAGTATTCTTAATACTCATAAAATTCAAGTATTTTAATTCTGCTACTGTTCAAGCCATAATTTATCTTTATGTCCTATATTCTAAATAATTCCCTCAAACTACATAACAATAATTCAGATATTATTTTCATTACAATCTGTTTTCAGTTACAGAAATAATAAACAGAATCAAAGCAAACTGAGTATCAGTAATTTATTCAAACTGAATTAAAAATTATGTTAACTTGCTAGATTGGGGATTTAGAAAACAAACATACAAATCCTTTTTTTTTCCTCCTGTTCAATTTTGTCTGATTCTCGGACACTGCTTGGACAAGTCCCTGCAGTTCTCAGAATATATACATACTGAACCTTGTAATTCTCCATCATTGTACAGTAAGTTGATAACAAGCAGCAGTTGTGTGTTTGAGCTAGGGATCTGATATGCCATGAAGTGCTATCACTGTTCCTTAGCAGAAGGCCCGACTAAAATATTTGTGTGCTCAATAAAAATACATAGGACTGCAGCCTTTTATTTAAAAAAGCCCTATCCTTTTTAAATCAAATGATTTTTTAATGATGATACTATTTTTCCCATTCAAATTTTTCTATTATTCATCAATTGTTATAAAACATTGATAATAATAAGACTAGTAAAAACAGGCA